AAAAAAAAAAAAAAATAAAGGAAGACGATAAAAAAGAATAAGTCAATGACTTTTTTATCCTTTAATATGTAAATTTAATTTTTGTTTTACAATTTCTGAACAAGTTTAACAAATATACTTAATAAAAGATTATATATATTTTTAGTTAAAAAATATCCCTTTTTTGGACAAAATTTCTATCAAAATAGAACTTGATTATTATGTTTATGCATTCCTCAAAAACCGGTCTTCGAACTACGATTTATTAAATTTGTCTTAAATACCGGGTGTCCAAAATTCAAGATTTCTTAAATACTAGGTGTCTCAAAAAAATGTTACCACATTTTGCAAGCTTGAAACACTTAATCCATTGATATAATAATTTTTTCCCCTTTTTAAATCGAAATAACTTGTATCATGTTATATACCACTCAATAAATAATTTATTTAGCTGTAAACTGATATAAAATATTTCATGTTATCTTTTGATTGAAAGCTCGATCAAATAGAAAAATATTTCGTTGATTCAAATCGTGTCTGATTGACAGTTTTATATGAATCGTCCTGCCAGCCAGCCGGCTGTGTATGCCGAAGAGTTCAAAAATATTGACATATTGAAATAACATTAATAAAGACTTAAAACAATGAAAATGTCTTAACATTTTATTGCGATACTCTGTAGAAATGTTCATAATCATGTTTATACAAAAAATAAAAACATATTGGCCAAATTCGTTTCTTTGTTTTTGTGTTTTTTTTTCTCATTAAGTAATTTATAAACAATAATATAACATATCTTAAATGAGAATAAACGAAAGTTTCAAGGATATTTCCAAATTATTCTATACATTAAGATTCGATAAAATATTTCTTCGAAATTTGAATTAACGAAATTGTATTAATTCTTTTTTTTTTGTTTTGGTTTTTTTTCAGACAATAATCCATCCGTTAGTACAATGTATTTTAAGAGCATTTATATTCATTTTATATTTGATAACGTATCCAATAATTAGAATGCGACTTAAAAAACGTCAATATTGTCCTCCTGTGATAAATAATATATTATTTTGGCCAGCTACTGAAATTGCTGTCAAAATTCGTACCAAGCAGGTAAATTATTATTTAGATTTGTTTTTTTTTTTTTTTTCAGTATATTACATAATAAATATAATTAATCATTGAAGAAATAAAATATGATAATTTCGTGTTTGGAAGAAAAATCTAAGGATTGTTATTCAAATTGTGTGCAGATCACTAGCGAGGAAGTTGTATCGATATTCATCGCTCGTTGTAAGGAAGTCAATCCTATATTGAATGCCATCGTAGAAAACAATTTTGAAAAAGCGATAATACAAGCTCGCATGGTAGATCAATTTTTAAAAGAAACTAGTATTAGTGAGATGAATCTTGAACAGGATATGCCATTACTTGGAGTTCCTGTAACAGTTAAAGCGAGTATTGCTGTTAAAGGTAAAAATGATGTTTTTCTTTTTGGAGTCTGGATTACAAATGCATTATTTTTCTTATTTCAATGTTAATTCGTATACGTGAGTTAAATCATAGAAATCTTAGATCTTACCCGAAATAATTACACGTTTTAGCAAAATTGATCTATTTTTGATTGATTATACATTGCAATAAAAAAAAGTTCGAAGAAATTTTCTATTTTTTGTTTTTAAGGTCATCCAAAGGTCATAGTATACTATATCATTGAATTCGTATTAATATGGGCTATAATACTGTCAAGTGTTTCTTCGAACTTTTTTTTTTATTGCAATGTATAGACAATCAAAAACAGATCAAATATTGTTTAAAGTATTTTTTTGTCAAGTTATCGCAAGTATTTGAAAAATCGTGACTAGAGTTATGTGGGACACCCTGTATATATATAATATATATAATTGCATTCTAAACGGGATCACTCGTTGCACAAGACTCAAATTGGTTCGAGGTTGCTTTTTTATGCAATTGAATTGTATTTTTTCTATTCTTTTGTTCACATCACGTTGCTTTATTATATTTTTGTTCAATCAACGAATACTATTTTCTAATTATAACGCAATAGGAAAATAAACAGAAAGAGATTTGTGCAAAGTTTGGTATGTTTAATAAATATATTATGTAAATATACAATAAAAATATTAGATTATTTAAATTATAGATTTTTGTTACGCTGTTGGAGAGGTAAGTCAAAAACACGTCAAGGCCGAAAACGATGCACTCGTAGTAGCAAATCTTCGTCGAGACGGTGCTATTATTTTATTAACGAGTAATGTACCGGAATATTGTATGTCCTGGGAAACTATGAACAATATCACTGGTAGAACATTAAATCCTTATGATACACGAAGAACACCAGGTGGTTCGACGGGTGGCGAGGTTTGCGTTTCTATTTATTGTTTTTTATTATTATTATATATATTATATTATTTATTATATTACATTATTTATTATATTATATTATTTATTATATTATATTATTTGTTATATTATATTATATTATATTATTTTACTTTTTTTTTTTGTAGAAGCTCAAAACTTTTCAACCCCATTTATGTAGATTTAACATTAATATAATTTGTTTTTATGTTAATTTTCTTTCTCTATTACGTGATGAAATTAGAATTAAAAAAAATAATAAAAACAGATTTTTACGTTGAAATAAATTTTATTTATATTTTTTGTTGTCAGGGTGCACTTATAAGTAGCGCTGCTTCTGTGATTGGTGTTGCATCTGATGTGGCTGGATCAGCAAGATTGCCTGCTATGTTTTGCGGTGTTTTTGGTCACAAACCATCATCCAGTAAGAAAAAGCTCGTATTGTTATTTTCTTTTTTTATAATTTATACAACAGAATATAAAAAAAGATATATGTATTTATTTATTTATAAATAACAATATATAATATATACTTCTTTGTTTTAATCCAAAAACAGACGTAGATATTATCAAAGCGTAATTATTTTCATTTTGTTATTTAAATATTAAATAAATATGTTACATATAAGAATATTGCATAATTTAAAGTTATTGAAACGAAAGTTGATTTAAATAATTTTAATACGTTGTTAAGAGCGTGATAGCGAAAAATTTCAATATTCTGTTTGATAAATTTCATCTTCGATTTTATTTTTCTAACGTTTTCGAAAAACGTTAAAATTATTATTATAACTTGCTAGATATGTACAAGTTTCTTTTTTTTTTTTTTAAATACAGCATAAGTTACAGATTTTGTATAGTATTAATAATATATCATATATAGAGTGTCCTATAACTGATGGTACAAAGTATCAAAGAGTGATAATAATTTATACTATTTCACAATATTCAATCTTTAATGATAGAATTTATTAGATTGGGTTTCATCCATGGGTCATAAACCAGTTGCGATAAACAAAACATGGAATTCTATTTTTACGATTTCTGTAATGACAAGATACGCTGTTGACATACCTCTGATACTAAAAAGTATTGCAACATGTGACGAATGCAAAAAATATCTTAACACCAAGGTATGCATTTATCATAATTATATTAAGCATAATTTTCATGAGATGCATTTAAGAGTGCTAATGAATCATAATTATTTTTTTTTATAATTAATTACTTGCATTTAAAGTCTTCTATTATATCATTATTCAATTCGTAATTACTTATTATATAAACGTACACATGTTCCTCAACGTCGATGCCATGCAATTGACCTATTTGTTAAGATCACTGATGCAATAGCAATTGAAAAGTAGGTGGTCATCGAGTGTGTGTAATACTTTAGAAAATAATTTCTAAATTCAACTTTAATTTCGTATTGATGTATATTCATACGTACTTTCACCTTTCCTTTTTTCGATCGTCTAAGAATATTTCACGTGATTGAACAACGGTAATTTCACCTTCTCTGATTTGTTTAGTTATAAAGAACAAAATATGGAGTGAGTAGAATATCAATGCAATTGGTATAAACTTATTTATCAACGAATTAATTGATCGTTTGAGTACCAAGCAAGCAGCGCAATCGCTGTTTAGATTTTATGTCAAAACATCTCAGAATATTTGAACGCTATGAACAAGATAAACGCTATTACGCGGTTCGCCATTTTTCAACAATATTTTTTTAATAATCCCTGGGAGATTCAATCGGATAAATTCATAAATTTAATGTATAATAGTTTGTTTTTTTTTAATGTGTAATTAAATGTATTAAATACAGTTTTTATGTTATTTCCACAGGTAGATATAAACAAAATCAAGGTTTATTATATCACTGATGAATTATCAGCGATATTGTGTTCACCAATTGACGAAGAAATCAAAGTTGCTATTAGAAATGTTGTAGAACATTTAAATTCGACTTTTGGGTGTCCAATTAAACAAGTTGGTTATTATATTATTATTATTATTATATAGTTGTATTTTTAAGAATATTACAACATTTTTCTACGGAATAATTCAAAATTATTCCTATTTTTTGTGATAATTTTTAATATTGAAAATGTGTCGTTAACAAATGTAAATGTTGTAAATATTATCTAAATATAAGCATAAATGCTTGTATATTAAATATGTTAATTAGATTAAAAAATAATGAACATTTTTATTATAGTTGAAATTACAAAATATGAAATATGCGTTTGAAATAACAGCTGTTATTCCTTCTGAAGTAGATAAGTTGGAAACCATTTATAATTTAGGAGATGGTTCGAAGGTTAGTATAAATAAATATTTATATAATTAATGCACATGTTTGTAATGATTTTTTAATGATACAATAAAAATAATATATATATATATTACAAATGTGTTATGTGCAGCCATGGAAAAGTGTATTCATCGTTCTGTTGAAACGATTATTTAGACTTAATTTACACACATCGACAAGCATAATATACGGATTTATCTTTAGAATCTTAAAAATGTTACCATCGTGGTATCATAAAGCTGTTACGAAAAAACGTGATGTACTTAAGAAAGAATTGAAAGTAAGTGTTAAGTATTAAAGAATATACTAATTATATTAGTATTTACTAGTTATATATTATATGATATTTATACAGTATTCCGTAATTGGGGTGGTACAAGCGAGCAGTATATGATTCTACACTTTTGACTTAATTTTTTATGTAGAATCACCTTCTGCTCGCTTATACTACTAGTTACAGGAACTTCTATATATATGTATATATGTTACCGTCATAGCCGGAAATCCGCCATTGCTAATAATTCCTTAGCATTCTCATCAATGCAAAGAGCATTCTGATGAAGTCGGAAACAGAAGAATTCTTACAGTTATTCCTAAGCGTTGAACATAATGCTTTGATATTCTATAGAATAACAAATTACTATTTAAACAACGTTGAAAAGAATACATTCTCGAGCACAGACACACACAGCCATACGCAACTTCATCGGAAGGCTCTTTGCATTGATGAGAATGCCGAGGAATTACCAGCAATGGCGGATTTCCGGCTATGACGGTAACGTATATATATATATATATGTATTTACAATTTTATATTTTTGTTTATTTTAGGAAATTTTAGATTCGAATTCTGTTTTGATTTGCCCGACTTTTAATTCATGTGCTTATTATCATTCAGAAATGTACACCAATATTTTGAATATTGGTTATATGACTATTTTTAATGCGTTGAGTTTTCCTGTAACACAATGTCCAATGGGTTTAAATAGCAAGGGTTTACCCATAGGTTTGCAGGTATTTTAATATTATTTTGTTATATTTTCTTTTTTATAGATACATGTATCTGTAAAAATTAATAATATTATAACGTTTTTTTTATTTTACTTTTTCGATTTAAATTAGTTGGTCGCTAACGATAAATGCGATAATTTAACCATCACATTGGCTAAAGAGATTGAAAACAAATTCGGTGGTTGGCAATTACCACCAAGTAATACTAATAAAGATAATGATATCGAACTTGATAATGGTTATACGGATTCTAATTCCAAAATTACCAGGAAAATGAATAAAATATCGTCGACAAATAATATCAAATAATAACAAAGATGCTGTATTATAGATTGTAGAATATATTGTTGAATATTATAATTGCTATGTTATTTTATATATAAAAAAAAAATATATGATAATTGAATCTCTCTCTTTATTTACAAAAAATTATATTTTTTTTATACTTATATAAATTTACATATCAAAATATGTATAGATTTAAGATTTCTATTGTGTAAAAATTTGTTAAATATATTTTAATACTTTCAAAAAAATGGTGATTATATATATATAATCTATTCTAATATAATAGAAATCATTTATATTTTTATATTTGTATTTTTGTGATATATATTTATATTTAGATAGAAATCTATGAAGAATCATATTTAAATGTTTAAAAATATTATATATATAGATAACATCGATCTATCGACAAATCGTGACAACTTTGAGATATCGATTTTGTCCAATATCGATTATGTTCACGCTGATAGTTGATCGTGTCACACAGTGAATAGGTATATAGAACAAGAGGATAATGTAAAACTTCTTTTTTTTTCAATTCTTTTAAAAGCTGTATATATGTATCATCTATATATGTATAACTTTTTTTTTCGATATAAAGAATTAAGAAGTAATAAAATTATCAAAGAGATTACAGTGTAAGTGTGAACAATGATACATAATTTGATCGATTAATATCGAGTCCAGTTGTTACTGTCAAACAAAATGTTGGGGAGATTTATTTTGTTTATATATTTAGTTTTTATTATTATTTTATAGTAAATATTTTCATAATTTGAGATTTGTTGAAGACAAGTGTAATGTTGTTTCTATTTATTAATATATTTCTTGTAATTTAAGAATTTATCTTTTCTTATGTTGTACACACATAACCTATATCTTATTACTTGAATGCATGAAAACATTTTTTTATAGTATTACTTGTATTTGATTTTAGTTAAACGTCGTTTCAAGATGTCTATCTCAGCGATATACATATTGGATGTGAAGGGTAAGGTTTTGATTTCACGTAATTATCGTGGAGATGTTGAAAATGGAATAATAGAGAAATTTATGTCTTTGGTAATGGAACGAGAAGAAGAAGGCAATCTTACACCTATTATTCAAACATTAGATTGTGCATACGCTTATATTAAATACAATAATCTTTATATTGTTTCTACAACAAGGAAAAATGCTAACATTTCTTTGGTATTTGTGTTTTTGCATAAAGTTGTACAAGTAATGCAAGAATATTTTAAAGAATTGGAAGAGGAAAGTATAAGGGATAATTTTGTAGTTATTTATGAATTACTCGATGAGTTATTGGATTTTGGTTATCCTCAAACCACCGATAGCAAGATATTACAAGAATATATCACGCAGGAGGGACATAAACTAGAAATACAACCTAGAATCCCGATGGCTGTGACCAATGCTGTATCATGGAGATCGGAAGGTATTAAATATCGCAAGAACGAAGTATTTTTGGATGTAATTGAATCTGTTAATCTTCTTGCTAATGCCAATGGAAACGTATTGAGTTCTGAAATCGTTGGTGCCATCAAAATGAGAGTTTATTTATCTGGAATGCCAGAATTAAGACTCGGCCTCAACGATAAAGTATTATTTGAATCAACTGGACGTGGAAAGTCTAAGTCGGTCGAATTGGAAGATGTTAAATTTCATCAATGCGTTAGACTATCTAGATTTGAAAATGACAGAACTATTTCATTCATACCACCGGATGGAGAATTTGAATTAATGTCTTATAGGTTGAATACTCATGTTAAACCATTGATATGGATTGAGTCGGTAATAGAAAGGCATGCACATAGTAGAGTTGAGTACATGATAAAAGCTAGATCTCAATTTAAACGTCGATCAACCGCTAACAATGTTGAGATTGTAATACCAGTACCAAATGATGCAGATTCTCCTAAATTTAAAACAACTATTGGTAGTGTCAAATACTCTCCTGAACAAAGCGCTATTACTTGGTTCATCAAATCCTTCCCTGGAGGCAAAGAATATTTAATGAGAGCACATTTCGGTCTACCATCCGTAGTTGGAGAAGACGTAGAAGGTAAACCACCAATTCAAGTGAAATTTGAAATTCCTTATTTCACAACTTCTGGGATTCAAGTACGATATTTGAAAATTATTGAGAAGAGCGGTTACCAAGCATTACCATGGGTGCGTTACATTACACAAAATGGTGATTATCAATTGAGAACGAATTAGTTTGAACAGTTAAATGGAAATATTTCAAATAACGATAAATTGAGAATTTAAATGTTTAAACAGATTATTTTTTTTTTAAAAAACCCACGTGTGAATATTCTGTTTTGGAAGTGAAAGTAACATTTTCTTAAATTGATTAGAGATTTCCATAGTTTAATCAATTGAGAGAACAATTTAAATGTTTTTAACATTGTGAAAAAATTGTTTATAGATACGCGACGTTACTCAATCTTATTTCATCTTGTCAAATCGTAACAGAAAGAGTACTTTAAATATTTACGAATACTTAAAATATTTTAAGTGTTCCAACCCTGCTGTTAATATTTAAATATCGAGTAAATTTTATTTTTTGTATATACGATTAAACTCATTTATTAATCATTATGAAAAATTGTAAATATAACGTACGGATTAAATTAAGCATAATATTAAGAATTAAAATGAAGAATGTCCTATAGTATTTGTATTTGTTGTTAATTATAATATTAGTACGAGTAACTGTATATTAATATTAAATTAGAAAACGTTATACTAATATAGTACGTTATACTAATATAGTAATTTATATATTAATATATATATTAAAGTAAACGAGGTTATACTAATTATATTTCCAATGAAAAATATATGATTTATCAGTATATATAAGAGATTATTATTTGAAATTACTTTAAATATATAAAAAGCTAATATAAAAAAATTTACATACATATATATATTTTACACATAGTATATCTCAACTTAGCTATTGGGGCCAATAAATTTAAAAATTTTTCTACATGAACTAAGTAGTTATAAAACAAAAAAAGAAGTTTTTGTAGTAAATTATAATTATTGTGGTGTTTAACAAATTAAATATACAGGGTGAGTCCGCTAACGTTGGTACCATAAATATTTTTGTTCTTTGTGAAGATACGTCAAATGTTTTAAGGAAAAAGTTGAATGATTCAATGGGGCGGCTCACACGATGCTAAAGTATTTTTGTTTATAAGTCATATTTTTTAAGGATATTAAGGTCTCTTTTTTTTTTTAAATAAATCCATCATTTTTCTAAAATGATAGTGCTTTTCATATAATTAGCGCATTTCTTTTCTTCTTCTTCATTTTATTAGGACTTTGTCCTGTTATAATAGCTTTTTTTTATTGCTATTTCTAGGAGTGATTTATCGATATTTGATTAGTTCCTAAGTCCGCTAAATAGGTGAGTGTTCATCTAGGTTTAGGGAGGTAGGATCGATTTTTTAGCTCTACCGATGAGTCGTTAGCAGTCGGTCCAAAAGAAAACGAAACCCTTATACATTGCCCAGTTAGGCAATATGCAACTAGCCAGACTTGTAAACATCGGATTTGTTTGCGCAAAAAATGTTATTGTGATAGAATAAATTATTGTTTTCGTAATCAGTTTATTAAGGATGATTTATTGGAAATATATTTGTGACTGCTAAACGCAAAACTGGATTTATTACTAAACGCGAATATTTGCATTGCTAGTAGCACCTTTTAACAATTCGGAAATGTATTCATATTTCTCACATTTCCTAAAAATTCTTCCTAAAATATTTCATTCTAAACCTGCTATCTTTTGATATGATAAAGAACAAACGATTCTGATTTTGTATGGTAATCTCTACGAATATCTGTCTTAATATAATATACGATAAGTAACAATAGACCCTACATAATATTACACCGGCGTAAGGTAAGTTTTAATTTCTACAAGTGCCCATAGTATAGCGGTGTGCATAATTTCAACAACCCGCGCATAAAAATCCGCATACAAAAAGGTGTTTCATTAGTTAAAAAGAAAAATTGTTTTGCTCTTTGCATGATTTTCAATATAATTCAGGTATAAAACGTTCCGTTCTAAACCTGTTTATCTTTCGATACGATAGGGAACAACAGATACAGATTTTCCGATAGCGACAAGAATTCTTCTGTTTCCGACTCTATCAAAAGGCGCTTTGCATTGATGACAATGTCGAGGAATTACTAGCAATGGCGGATTTCCGGCTATGACAGTAACATATACACTATATACGATTCACTCTCACATAATAACTACATATATTCATTTTTATTTATTTATTTAATTATTATTTTAGTAAAAAATACATTTAGAATATTTCTATTATTATATAAATATTAGAAATTATATATATTTAAATTGAAATTATTTGAATGCATTTTCTACTTATTGTTAAATAAGATAATATTAACTTGCAATTTTTACAAGTGCAATTTAACGCAATAAATATCGCAAAAAAATTGATTCAATTATAGGAGTCAGAAAAAAGGAATAAAAAAATGATATAAAACAAATAATTATTTATAATGATTGTTTTCTGATTAGAAGTGGTGGTAGTTAAATCGTCAGTCGTAGTATAGTCTTGAGTATCGTTAAAAATAGTGTTCTGTCTGTATTGTGGTGTGTGACGAGCAAGACATGGAATCACATGGAGAGAAATTTATAACCTGGATATATTTCTTTTAGTTTTTTACTTCGATACTGATCATACCAATAACGGAATTAAGTAACTAAAATAAAAATAAAAACGATCTCTTTTTGTTTACTTTTAACTTAAAAATTCTTCTTAACTTCCGTGTTTTTACATTTTGTTTGCTTTTCCTTGTTAAATATATCTTACAGGAATTTGTTTATTTTCTAAATAAGTTAAAACAGGAAAAAGTAGAAACGTTGAAACGTCAGCGTCGAAATTTGTTGTTGTATGCACCGAAACGGGCAAATACAAAGTGGTGTAATAAAAAAATTGAGACAACGATTTTATACAAGTGTCACAATTTTGGTAAGTATTCATATATGAGTTAGATTTTTTAATTATTAATAATTTTTCTTTCCATGGTTATATTTAAGGCACATAAGGTCTTTTCTTTTTGTAAAGTAATATTTATTTAGAAAATTCGGAAGGTTTAACAGAAAATAGAAAAACTTTTTTAGAAAATCATTTCTTATCAAAATTATAATTTAAGTTTTAAAATGATTTATTAAATGATTTTTGAACATTAATATCGTAGACTAAATATGGTAAATTATCTAAAAATTTATATCTTCTTCTACAATCAATTAGCATATCTTTCGATTAGAATTCATGAAAACTAATTTATTATACAAACAAAAAACGGATATAATTAGCATTAGCACTCGTCATGCGTTGAGTATATGCCATTTGTGCAAAAATAAAATTAAAGATTATTTGTAAGTGCAAAGTCATTGATCAAACGTTTTAAATCAGATCGATTATTCGTATAAAAGTAAAAGTCTTTTTCTCGCTTTTTGCATTGACGTAATTTATTGTAATTGTATTTTTTGATGAATTAAGATTGTCTATTAAAATTGTTTTTTTCCTTTTTTTTTTACAAATAATTTGCATATTTTTACGTGAAATTATCTACGTGAAATTGTAGATAGAATTATTCAATTTTGTTTTCGTCTTTTCGTTTGTAAGAATGCACTTTAATGCATTGTGGATTTCTTATGTGAGTTAATGCACTTAACGAAGAAATTCTCTCGAAAGATTTCACTTTTACGAGTACGAAGAAAATCTTTTCTCTCTCCTTTTACTTTTAGTTTAATTTAAAAGCAGATAGTTATGTTATACTCGTATTACATATACAAAAGATTTACATAAAACGTAAATTAATGCTATTTTATTTTAGCAAATTTTGTGAAAAATTCAAGTTTGAGGGAGAAAGCAATTAAATAAATAAACAAATAAAAGAAATCTTTCTTTTTGTTTAATAAGAGAATAAAATATAAATATATTTTTTGATTTTATAAAATAGTTTACTAGTATTAACAATAATTTAATATTTTGAATAAATGAAAAAAAAAGAAGTTTTGATATATAATTAAATTTAAATGAAATAAAACTAGATGTTCTAAAAAATATATTTAATTGCAAATTATCAATATAATTCGTTCAACATTGTCAAAGAAAGAAAGAATAGATTAAGTTTTTTTTACCTCGTAATAATTACGTATTTTATGAGGCATCTATGTTTTTTATTTACACGTGCAAAAATAATGGTGAAAAAAGAAAAAGAAAGAAAACAAGAACCGAAGGAATGACTACAAAATACGTAATACTACTTATTAAAATGCTTCAGGGAAATACATTGACAAACACAGTTAATTCACGTATAGATATTCTTTTATCGTGCTATTTTATATAGCATTGAATACGTGAGTCGATAAGAAATGGTCTTTTCAAACTAATTCTTATTCCATCGTTGTTATTATATAATGGATGACCGCCCACCAATTTATACGTGCAACGGATACAATTTCACAAATATTTTTATTTCAGATTTTCCTTGAGAAAATTTGTCAATACTTAGTTTTTTTTTCAACTTTAGTTTATTACAAGTCATTAAAAACAAATCGTAAATATTATGAAATGCGAAAATTATACAGAAATTAATTTTACGATTAAAAAATTATAAAAATATGTCATTACTCTTAAGATTTATCGATAAACATTAGAATGATATTAATTTCTCTAGATCCTTCTGATAAAGCATCTTTTATCTCCTTGAATTTTTTCATTGAATTTCATTACTTTGGTAAAGCTTGCAATGATCGACGATGACGAATATTTCGAAAAACAATGCTATTTTGGAACTTTGTCCAACTGTCTTACTTTGAGATATTTAACTATATCTGAAATATCAAAAGAAAGAAGTTTTACAAACACTCTTATAAATCAGATTAAATATTATGTTCTATATATATATTATTTGGTATAATTTAACTTTTATTTATACAATATGTTAAAAATATAGATTTATGTTTGTTCATTTCGTTATATTTTGCATTTCATTATCATATTCATTTGAGTTATTCTTACGCAATTGCAACTGTTTGAACCATGAATAGTAAGTTTTTTGATTGATGAGTGTGAATGTGTGTAATAGATTGATTAATGTTAATTTATTAATATTTGCAAAGCACAACAATTGTCAAGTTTATATTTTGATACATATCGATTAGAATTATTGTACACGTGTACGTATGTGTATGTGACTTAAAATATGCATTTCGAAAACTATAATCTCGACAAATCAGTTTCACGGTTGAAACAAGATCATTGCAAGATTTACGAGAGATGAGAAACTATTTTGAAAAAGTTTAAAGAATGTATCGAATTGTGTGTGATTAGAAAGAATATATTAAGCTTAAGTGTGTATCTGAGTATTTTAAGACTATGACGTCGGGTGACCTCACGCTAAGACCATGCAGAAACTATCGGGAAAATTTCGGTGTCACCATATTGGTTGGTTGTGAGGAAAAAAATTGGGCAAGTGTTGATAACACTATTGGAATGGACCCAAAAACAGGTTTAACTGTATATCTTTAAAATTTCGAAAGAGTTGAAGGACAGGATTGAGAGAACTCATGAGAAATGGTAATGAAATTATTAAAACTTGATGATTATGATTTCCCGAGAATCTTGAAAAACCGCGGGCGACTAGCGAAATGATCTGAGTCAATCCTACCTGCGCCAAATAAAATAAATCCGTTTAGATGTGCGGATGACATAGCGTTACAATAGTTTAGTGATCACAGCTAGTTGTGTTTATTATTGTAAGTATTGCATTAATTTGTTATGATCCATTATTCATTTTTATATTCATTATTTATATCTCAATAAATCGAATCCTACATTTATAAGTGGATTAGAAAGTTATTGTTGAAGTAAGAATTAATTTTGTTCTAATTATTATGATCTAAATTTATATAAATAATTTCGTAAGAAATTTGATAAAAAAAGTAAAAAAAAAATACCTTTAAACAATTTAGGTCTAACAATTGAGTGTCTTCAATAATAATAAGATAGAGTCCGAGAGTGGTTAATAATAGAATTTTATTTTTTACCGTATCATAATGAATTCCACGTTCTTTATTTTCTTCGACACTTTTGCGTTCCTTTTATGTTAATGTTATTTAATTACCCTACTCTCTCGCGTATATTTCGAAAAAGTTTGATCCATATTTATAGTTAAACAAATCAAGGAAAAAAGTATTTCGAAACGTATGTTTGTCTTACAACATTCGGGGACCGATCAATTATTACGTTACTGCCATTACACCTCATTTATTCTTTTGTATTTCTTTTTTTCTTATTGTTATAGCACAAATCGAAGATGAATATAATATTCGTTGGATCTTTCATTTTTAATATTCTATTCAAAATATTAAATTTTATTATGAAAAAGTTTAATCGTGAAAAACCACAACGAATTCCACCAAACAATAATGACTTGTTTGAATTGTCAGCAAGTGTATTGGCTAAAAAAATCAGATTGAGAGAAGTAAGCATTATCAAAATATAATATTTGTTCTTTTTAATTGATTATATAATAAATATACAATATAGTTCAATATCTATTATGCATTTTAATTTTTAAAAAATAAACTTCGTTTAACAAGATATATATTAGAAAGTTAATTAAAATTTAAGAAAATATTTTTTTCTAAATTATTATATTACAAAAATTCGATAAAAATAAATCATATTTATGCTAATACTTTGTTTACGTAAATAAATCTTTTTTCTTTTTTTTTTTTTGAGATTACAAGCCAAGAAGTAGTTAAAGCATACATCGAACGCATAAAACAAGTGAATCCTATTATAAATGCGGTTGTCGAGGATAGATTCGAAGAAGCCTTGGAAGAAGCAAAAATTTGCGATAAAAAAATCAAAGATGGGGAAATTACCAGCTCCGAAATGGAAAAACAAAAACCGCTTTATGGTGTACCTTTTACGGTTAAAGAATCGTGTATGCTCAAAGGTATGAAAAATACGAATCTTATTTATACATATTAACTATATATAGAATTATATATGAATGATAGTCAGTTAAAAATAATTTGCTTAGATAAATGTGCTTAAATTTTGTCATAAAATCTGTATTTGTATGTATCATTATTTATTAATTAATTTAAGATGAAAATAAATTTCTTTTATTAGGATTGAGTTACACAGGAGGTTCTTATGCTCGGAAAGGAATAAAAGCATTGGATAACGGAGAAGCAGTAGAATTAATGAGAAATGCTGGCGGTATACCTTTATGCGTTACCAATATTCCAGAATTATGTTCGGGATTTGATTCGTACAATCTTTTGTTTGGAAAAACTTACAATCCATATAATACTAGATGTACAGCTGGTGGTTCGTCTGGAGGAGAAGTATAAATAATATTTATAGATAATTGTATAATTGAATTTTATTACTTATTAATATCATTCACTCTTCGACTGTGTTTGAATTGTTTAATAATATATGTATTGATTATATTTACATTTTTACTAATTATAATTGATAACTTATAATTCATAATTCATCTATAATTGCATTAATTTAATTACATATTATTAAAAAATTAGGTGAAAAAAGATTTAATTGTATTAAATTAGAAAAGCTATAAGAGATTAAAAAACAAAATATATTAGGCATCTTGTTATTTTGTTATTGCTAATATAAATTTGTATACATTTTATATACCGTCTCTTTGACTTTTCATATTATATACAGAGTGTCTTTAACTGGCGGTACAAACGATAAGGAAGTGATTTTATTTGAAATATTAATTACAGGTCGAAAGTGTACAATAAAATTCGTTGAAAAATTTGTTGAGTGCTTGGCTTCAGTTTCAGCTCAACAGATTTCACTATTTTATTCTCGCATATTTCTAAGAACATTTTAGTGCTTAATAATATGTTTATAAACATTATTAGTGTGATGATGGAAGTTCAGTAAAGAGCACACGTTTTCGACAAATTTTCAAATGTATTTTTTCGAAAACAAAGTCTCTTGTATGAACAAATTTTATTTTACATTATCGACCTAATTTTTCATATAAAATTATCTCCTGCTCGTTTGTACAACCAGTTATAGGACACCCTGTATACAATTAAATATAATTATATAAAATTATATAAATATAATAAAAAATTATATATATATATGTTTAATTTGTTTAAAAGGGAGCACTAATAGGTTCAGGATGTTCTTTGATAGGAATCGGATCAGATTTAGCAGGATCGATAAGAATACCAGCCCTATTTAATGGCATCTTCGGGCATAAACCTTCGGCAGGTAATAAAATGTCTTTTTTGTATTTTCAAGGTGATCATCTTAATTGATAAATCAATGTTGGCGTTATCATTGAGCATCGTTAGTGTCTCATTTAAAACTTAGTTAATTATATTTCCAGGAATTGTCCCGTACAAAGATCATTTACCATTCATGGATGATGAAACATTTAAACAATATCTTGTAATTGGACCTCTTGCAAGATATGCTGAAGATTTACATTTAGCTATGAAAGTATTGTCTGTTAAATACAATCGAGATTTACATTTGGATGATCCAGTTGATTTAAAGAAATTGAATGTATATTATTTGGAAGATATTGGACATAAAATTGGTTTAATTGAAACTCAAGAAGAAATACAAACTTGTATTAGAGAAGCAGTTAAACATTTCAAATATTGCGGTTCAAAAGTTGAGGAAGTAAGAAAATTATTATTAATGACGTTGTATATTTAACATGTGATAGATTTTAATATAAGTACAGGATTGGTCGAAAGTTCTTAAATGATATTTAAAATAATTGTACAGAAAGTTGTATAGTATTACCAAAATTTATCATAGAATTTTCGGAAAAGAATAATATGGATTTTTAATCATTTAGAAACTTTTGTATTATCCTGTATTGTAAATCTCGAATGCTAAATATTTTCTTTTATTATAATTTTTTTGTTAGATTCTAATGAATCAAGAAAAAAAAAACAAGATTTTATGACCAAGCATATTCTGTTATATAATATATACTTCCATACTTTCGATAATAACTTCTTAGTTAGGATGAAGGATCTAACTAACGAAGCTTCAAACTTTCTCTCTATCGGTTTTACTATTTTATTTTATTTGAATATTTATGTTTATCTCTTCCAATGCGAATGCTCATTATTTTCATTGCTTTTCTAATTCTAAAAAAAAAAAAAAAAATGTACAGAGAATTCTAGAAGTCGTCTAACGTATAAATCATTCTATGCAAAACAATTATTATTTGTAATTGCACTGTTTTACATATTTTTTATATTTTTTATAGATGATCACAAACTATTTGTTAAATATATTTTAATTTAACTATTTGATTTTTATATTAATTCGATTATGTTATCTGTCAAATATATATTTATTCATTTAAATATTAATTTTTATTTGTTATATATTCATAGTATCCAGGATCTTTAACTAACATTTTCGATGCGGTTACGAGACAATTGTTATTGATAAAGATACCACTCCTATTGGATCCAAATGATTTCAAGGTAATCAGTGTATTGAGTTTATTTATTTATTTATTTCTTTTAACTATTAATGTTAATTAACAAAATACATTTATATTTATTTATATATCTTTCCGATTTTGAATTAGAATGAACAATCGGTGATATATGAATTACTAAAAACAGTGTTAGGTTGTTCGCAACATACGTTTGGAGTGGTCTTTGCTAAAATTATTATGAATATTAGTACTTATAAAGAATCTATAAAACAGGAGTTAAAAATCCAGTTTCAATACTTAACGGTAAATGATTATTATTATTATTATTCATTATTATGACTATATTTTTTATATTACGAATTATAATATTATAAATTTTATATTTTAATTAAACGTAGAATATTTATTGCAATGTTATTTTATTATTTTAGAATTTGTTAGGTGACAATGGTGTAATCATTTTACCCACATTTCCATTAACAGCACCTACAGGCAAATTAATACAGTTACTTATGGTAAATGGAATCAGTTGTACTCTATCGAATTGTTTTGGTTTTCCAGCAACTAATGTCCCCATGGGTTTTGATAAAAATGGTTTACCAATTGGTTTTCAGGTAATAATTTTATTTTGGTAATGTCTTTTTTCTTTTTTTTTATTATTTATTTATTTAATTATAATTTTCACAACTTATATTGTATCTTATTAAGATTATATTTATAAATATTTCATCGCATTAGGTAATCGCTGCTCCTTATCAAGATCGTTTATGTTTAGCACTAGCCAAAGAATTGGAAAAATCATTTGGTGGTTGGGTCCCACCTTATCGGTCTTAAAATATTTATATGATATTTATGTATATTTATATATATATATATAATCAAACCTTGGATTGCAAATAACTTAGTTTACGAATGCTCCACAAGACGAACAATGATTAACGAACAATGTCTTGCAATACGAGCAGTACTCTTGGCAGACGACAAGCGTATTCGTAGTATACGTAAAGTGTCAATTAATTTCTTTATTTTTTCGATTCTCCATTATGTATTTTTTTTTAACGAAAATCACTTTTTAATATACGAATGCTTTCGATTACTATTACATTTCTAGATTAAATTATATTTGCAATCCAAAGTTTCAATGCAGTTTTATATTTTATTTTTTATCATTTTGGAACAAAATACCTTTTTTATTTTATAAAATATAAGGAATGTGATATTTTCTAATTCGAAAATATTATAACATACGTATAAGTATAAATTATTGAAAAAGCTTTTTCATAATTTTTTTTGTAAGTTATTAAACATATTTTTCATTATTATTATTATTATTATTATTTAAGATAAGATTGTATAAGTTTTTTTCAAAAAACTTAGCAATTAATACAAAAAAATACAATAATCTTTTATCACGAGAAGATATTTTTTAATTTCAAATGAACATGTTAATGCACATTTTATTTTTATTTTTTTTTTTTTATTCTTTTCTGTTTTTTTCCCCTTTATTTTGCACAACCTAATACATCATAATGCATCTTGCTTTCCCACTTTTCCTACAAACTCAAGAAATGGATAATTTATACATAATGATAAATTCATAATTTTACAAGAACACGGAAAGTGTTCTAGTATTACCATCTCTTTCTTTTTTTTTTTCTATATATAATATATTTATATATAATAAAAGTAAACTACGATTAGTGCAATTTGTTTTTGTTGTTGTTGTTCATTGTAATAATGTGTTATGTTAATTATTAAATACTGAAAATGTTTTCACGAATAACTAAATCAAAATGTCTTTTCTGACATATAAACAAATAAGAAAAATAAACTAAATGATTTTATCGTTTTTTTTTTGTTTTTTAATCGGACACTGATTATTATTTATATCGAACACATTGTTCTTCCTGCTTTTTATGTTTAATGGTAAATAATATAATTAATCATCTAATTAATTATATTATTTCAGGCATGATTTTCAATATTATATACAATATTGTAATATGATATTGTCTTTTTCTTTTCTTTTACTCTCTCTCTCTTTTCTTTCTCTTTTTAATATAACGCATATTAATAAAATATTTCGAAGAACGTTAAACATGCGTTAGGCAATATTTTAATAACAATTTTCGGTTCATTTCTTCCGATCGCATGCTAAAATGTAAGGCTTACCACCATGGCGTTCCCATTCACGATTAAATTCGTGTTCTAAAATTTCTGCACCTCGTTTGCGCGTCAAACCAGTCTCCTCGAGGCTTAACTCGCACATTTGCATATCGTCGACACCTACAAATTAAAAAAATACATTAATTAATTAACAAATAAATTAATTCTTTTTTTTTTGTCACGTTGTTACTTGTGTTTAATTTCCTAGAAGACCTTAATTCTTTTGAATCTTTTTAAATTTGTAAAATCTTAAGTTTTTTCTTTACTACAATGATCGTGTGGTTACTAATTTTAAATATATTCTTAATTTTCAAAATGTTTTTCGCGTGATTTCTAATATTAAATAATTGAAAATAGTTTAGACGACTGTATAAAAAAAAAAGAAATATTTTATATATTTTAAAATACTGAAAAAAAAGGAAAATATTAATAATTAATTTTAGAACATTGTTTGACTGAAATTAATAATATTTAAAAAATATATATATATATATATTGTGGAAATTTTACCAGCCAAAAGAAGTATAGGTGGTTTATCCGGATGAAGTTCCATTTGTCTTGCAACATATTGACCATCAAAATGAGCATACCACCAACCCCTCTTACCACCGGAATGAGAATTATCCTGTTGATTAGAAGCAACAGGACGAACAAATGGAATTCGAAAATATCTTTGCGAAGAATCCACTATAGCTTGCTTCATAGGTGTTCGTGGAGTTTTTGCAGCTAAAATTGTTTAACTCGTGACTTTAATTTATTCATTCTTCTTTGTATAAATATATCGAACAATGTAATCAATTTAAGTGTTCGATCGATTAATTCATTATTTAAAATGTTTTTGTTTTAATCATTTAATAAATAATATTTATTTAAATTATAACAATATAGAAATTATTTTACCAGCTTCCATGATGGATTTTGGGGCTCTTTCATTTTCATCCATAGTAGTTTTTCTACGATTTCTTGCTTTCCAAGCATGATAAACCTTCAGTCGACGATGGAACTCATGACGACAAGCCTATTTATACAGATAACTTTCTCGTTTACATATAATGATATATAATTTAGATCAATGATTTTCAAATTTTTTTAAATTACGTTTTTCTTGCCAATGTGTATGCATGTGTATACCATTTAGATGAATATATAAAAAAACTATAATTATAATATAAAAATAAAAATAAAATTAAACATATATATATATACGAGGGTGTTAAAAAGTTTTGTCTTAAGAAAAACAAAATTTTTATACAAAAAAAAAACAACTTTTTCTATGTTAGACTCCAAACTTTTCAACCCATTGTATATAAGAAATTTTGTATTTAATTTGTTTGCTCTCATGATGAAAAAATAAAAATTTTGCCACACGGAGGTACGTGTAGCTTTATTGAGAATCTTTGATAAAGACAATTGATCTAATTGTATTTTTTTATTGCTATTAATATCGATGATAACAATAGATCACAATAAAAAGTTGAAGTAAGAAATCAAGAAAAGTATTTTTAATCTGTAAGATCATCTTATAGATATAGACTATTTCTAAGCTTTTATAATAATGTTTAATTTTGTTGACGTTGTGTAGACAAGAAGAGAAAAAAATATTAAGATAAGTAACACATACCTCTAATAATTCAATATCGCATGAAGTATTAATAGCATCACGTAATTCAGAGTACTTCCATTTTGATAAATCATATTTTTTATTGATCATAGCTGCCTGATGATTGCGAACTTGTTCTGACCTAATATCAAATGAAAAAAATTTGTTAATTAATTTTTATGTTTAATATAATATACGAAAAAAATTAAAAATATTAGAGTTCTACAAAAGTGTTGCAATTAGATCTCGCTATAAAAAGCTGTGCAAATATTAGAAATTTTACATGTTAAATAAATCATGCAATTTATGTTAATGATTCATAGGGTGTTAGTCGTTTTATTTTGTATAAATAAAATTAATAAGATTATACACTTTATCGTGTTATTATATTTTACGTATAAATTATAATTATATTAGTTATAAACAATTTGTTAGAAATTAAAGTAGCCCTTTGAATCATCTTAAATGTGGTGTTTAAATCATGTATATTTATAGTATATTAAAAGAATATAATTAGTGTCTAGTTTTTTGTGGTCAGTAAGAAAGTTTCTAATTTAATGGAAGTGTATTTTGGGAACCATTCTAAACCATTAGCCGTTAATGCGTGCATTACCACGACAAAAGATTTGATACCTTATAAGCCTGTTGTTGTTCGTTGATGGTACTCGTACATCCGAACCACTATACATTATCAAGAATTTAAATATTTAAGAAAAATTTTAAAAATATCTATTAATTTAGTCGCATATAATATTTACAAATATTATAGTTTCTAAAGATTATTGATGGGCCATTCAATAGCCAATTGATTGTTTAATCGCGACAATTTTAAAGAAATTAGAAAAAAAATGAAAAATAATAATTAATTATAGTTATAGAGAAGTAATAAAATCCCAGGCATACTTTCGAACAGGTAGTGGTGAGTCTTCCACTTGTCCATTAGATTCCTGAGCTAATCGTACAGCCAATTCGTGATCTCGTCTTTCTTGTTCTAATAATTCACGATAACGGTTTTCCTCCATAGCCTCCTTTTCTAATTGCGCCTACGTTATTTGTTTTGAAATAATTTGAATTTATGTTAGAATTATTGCAGATCTTATCGAAGATAGTTTTTAATGCTTAGGAATAATAAAAACGTTTATACCTGAATAATTGCAGCAGCTTTCTGGTCTTCCAATTCTTGTAACTTTCTTTGTTCCTCTTCAGCTTTTCTTCTAGCCTCCATTTCTAATTTTTTCTTTCGATTAACTTCGTCCTCTTTTTTCTTACGTTCTTCCTCTTCCTTCATATGCTTTTCAAGTTCCAATTCCTGTTGTATTTTTTTCATTCTTGCTTGTTCCTCCGCTATTTTTTGTTGTTTGACCATATTTTGCATAGACAACATTTGCTTGTTCAATTGATTAACCAAATTCGTATAAAGTGTATCAATTTCCTCAGGTTTAATTTTCGAATCCTCTTTAATACGACGAATAGAATTTTCTAAATCTGTTTGCAATCGTTTTATATCGGCAACACATTTATCACGATTCTTTAATTGTTTCGATATATCTTGAATTTCTATTAATTGAGTTTGAAGAAACTTTATCTTAACCAAACCCTTTATCCGTGGCCTATGTTGTTTCTTTGCGATGTACATTCTCGCTGTTTTTTGAAGAATCAATAAATGATGCCTACGATAAATAATCTTGTTTTTTAATTTGATCACGGATAAAGCACAGAATTGCATTTTATTCCATCTCGATCTGAGAAGCCATTTTTTTACGTTGGCTACTAACTTTCTCAAATTTTCTGGATCTGATTTCATAATTTTATCAAATTCAGCGAATTTACCGGGTTTGAAGAAAACGCGCGTTATGCCAAATTTGAAATCTTTCTTGTTCAATTTCAAACTGTGAAGCAACGCTTCGCAAAAGAATCTTGGCTCTAATTTAGCCAATTCTGGAGGAAGATAAGATTTGTACATATTATACAATTCTTGAAAAGGAACCCTACTGGGATAACCATGTTCCATTAATTCCAATACAGACGTCATTCCCGAACAACGCAGTTGACCTAAAATGCTGTTACCATCAAATTGATGTGCAACCATATCATTGTTTGGTTTTATGCATCGAATAAAA